AAGGGCCTCGGCCATTTCACCTAACTGCTAACTGTGCCGACTCTGAGAGCATCTTTATTTCTAGCACAAAATGACTTCCCTTCCTTAGCTCTGGCTCAGCATTGCTTCCTGATTTTTATTTTGGTTGTATTTTTTCCAGCGTGTGTTGTGTGTTTGGAGCAGGCAGTTGGGAGGCTGAAACTTATTCCTTATCAACTCAGTCTGCCATATTGCCTCGAAGTCCAAAACAGTCTGCTAAGAGAGGCTTCTGGCACCCACGGTCACTTCCTGGAAACCAAAGTTGAATTTCAGACATGCCAAGTGTGAGCTGTCAAAGGAACATGTGAGCCGAGGGCTCTGGGGGGCAGGCGTGGGAACGCGGGCCCAGGGCTCCGGAGAGAGGCTGGGAGAGGAAGGAGGCAGCCACCGCTGGGGCACAGAGGCGATGCCTGAAGCTTTCCAAGCCAGTGACATCCCCAAGGGATGGGAAATGGATCGGGGAGGGTGGGAACTGGGGTCAGAGCCTCCAGAACACTTACATCTTGGGGGAGGGAGGAACAAAAGCAGGTGGGGAGGAGCCCACTGCCAGGAGGGCAGGAAGGGAACCAAGCCAAGCGAAGAGATTTTTCAAGAAGAGGGTGATAAACAGTGTCCAATGTTGCGACGATGTCAAGAGAGATGAGGGTGGCGGAGTCAGCAGAATCCATGGTTGGGAGCTTCTGAGAGGCAATGCAGGCAGAGCCACTGAAGAATGTCTGGGAAAGGAGCACCTGGAGAGTGCAAGCGTTGGTCTCCTCTGCCTTACATCTCCTCTGCCTTCCATCTCCTCACCCCTCACTGTCTCACCTCGTAAGGCTTGGGAAAGCCTAAGACAGACCGCCCATGCCTGTCACCACCTTCTCATCATCAGAGTGGGAAACTTCCTGGATGAAATACAAACACATCTGCCTCCTTAGGATATTTTCAAAGTAGCCATTCCCAAACCTGCAGCTCCATGACCCTGTGCTCCCAGATGTCTGGGAGAGAGAGCCCCATTCCCAGAAGTTCCCTTTCCAGGCCACTACCCTGCAGACCAGGCCTCCTGGCCCATCAACTGAGATGTCCTACCAGCCAGAACATCACTTTTCACTTTGCTGCTGATGAGTAAAAATCTCTGGATCAATTCAGTAGGAAAGAGTGAATCATAATAGGAACGTGCACAGAGGAAGCTCTGTGTGTTCGTGTGCGCGTGCGTGTGTATGTGTATAGCACATGATCCTAATTACTATGAGGAGTGACTCACCCATTCTCCAGGAATCCCATACCCACAGGTCACTCATGAATAAGTCAGTCTCCTCTTAGGACCAAGTTTCACCATTTTCCCAGTTGTTCAAGTGCAAAACCTAAGAAGCATCCTTCATTCCTTTCTTTTCCTCATCTCCAACATCTCATCTATCACAAGTCTTGCCAACCCTGTCTTCCCCTATCAGTCTCCTGTTCTGCATGTCCACTGCCACTTCCTCCTCTGGGCCAGCATTGCCTCTCTCCTGGATTCTGCCCTAACCTCCTAAGGAAGCCCCATTCCCACTGTGGCCCCCTTCCAGAGTCTCCCACTCAATTTGTTTTCCACGAAGTAGCAACAGTAATTAAAAAACAAAAGCAACTGTGAACCAGATCATGTCTGTTTAAAACCCTTTTCTACATTTAGAATACAATCTAGCTGCTCTGCCGGGCCCTGGCCCTTTCTGACTGGTTCCGCTTCCCATCCATGGCATCCTGAGCAAGCTCCTCCGGCCCACCGTGCTCCTGCACAGTGGCCTTTGCATTTCTTCCCTCACGGGCCTTTGCACTGGCTGAGCCCTCTGCCTAAAATGCGCGTGCCCTCATCTTGGCACCGCTGGCTCCTCTTGTTACTCAGGGGTCAGGCAGGCCTTCCCTGAACACCCGGTCGTTTCTATTACATTCTCCTGTTTCAGTCTTCTGATCATTTTGTTCCCATCTGACAGTCCTTTGCTCATTACTTCATGCATTCAACAAACATCGATCACTTCTTGTGCCAGGCAGACTAGGCATGTGTTTATTCTCCCTCAATAACATGTCTGTCTCCTCTGAATAACATTAAAAAAAAAAATCACCTCATGAAGACAGGGGCCTTGAGCAGAGCTTCAGGGCCTGGCATGGAGGAGGCATTCAATAAATATTTGATTTGCAGAATGAATAAGTACAAATGGTAATGTGTACTCAGGAAATCAGAATTGGCTGATACAGCTTCTAAGGTCTCATGGCTTTGAGGCAGCCAATATTCCAAAGTGGCCCTAGTGCTGAGATAAATCAGACCCTGCCTGTATTTTTCCAGGCCAGCAAAGGTGATTCCCTCCCTGTTTCTACATCTAGTCAGCATTTATTCATGTTACTATGTGCAGGCTGTGCCTGGTGCCAATCTCGATCCTGTCCCAACTCATTTAGCTGTTGGCACTCAGGGGCCAGCCAAAAGGTTACCCTGACCTATATAGCTAATGGTCACTGGTGGTCACCCCTGGTGCAACCAGGTGGCAGGTCTCCTCCCACACCTGTAGCTCACTTCTGCCCATTTCCCAGATACCCAGGGTTTCAGAGCAACGGCAGGGAGTGAGGCTGTCCTGTCCCCAGGGCAGGGAACCAGCCTCCCTTCTCCAGACCCATTTCCCAACAGCAAGAGTGCCTGCACTCACCCTGGCTCCAACACCAGGCTCCGTCACTGCCAGCTCATCTGGCACGCTGGCCAAAAACATGGGCTCGGAGGCCCAGCAAGGCAAGGCTCTGCACCGCTGACTCTGTGATCTTGGACAGGTCACTGTGCCTCTTGGACCTCAGTTTCCTTTTCTGATAAATGAAGTCTATAAAGACTGCAGCAGTGCCCTGGTGCCACTGCTTCTCCCTGCTCTTGGGCCAGGGGTCTCACCAGGACCAGATCAAGGGGCATGTGGGGGAGGGCTATATTTCTATGGCTAATCTTATTATCAGAAATCAGGAGCAAGAGCCAAAACCAGTTTGGCTCAGTGGTAGAGCGTCGGTCTGCGGACTGAAAGGTCCCGGGTTCAATTCCAGTCAAGGGCATGTACGTTGGCTGCGGGCACATCCCAGGATGTGCAGGAGGCAGCTGGTCAATGTTTCTCTCTCATCGACGTTTCTGGCTCTCTATCTCTCTCCCTTCCTCTCTGTAAAAAATCAATAAAATATATTTAAAAAAGAAAAGAAAAGAAAAAAGAAATCAGGAGCAAGAGAAGAATTCAATTCAGCACAATAAACATACAATTCAAACAATAAGCGCATACTCAGCCAGGCACCTGGGATACAGGTGAAAATCAGGTCTCATCGTGAAGGCAGGCAGGCAGAGAAGAGGCGGACCTGTGAACAAAACTTCAGAGCAGATGTGCCACACGCTGAGTAAGGACAGGCATGGAGAGTGTCAGGGATACAGTACAGTCTCGGTTCCTCTGGACTGGGTGATCAGGATGAAGGGATAAGATAATGGGTTTGGCCTTCTCCGTTTCCCAAATGATCTGTGCACACCAGTGTCCACACTAGCAGGACAGGTGGGTCAGTGGTGGCTTGTGAGACTCCCAGCATCCCTCACAACCATAACCAAGAGCCACAATACCGCTGACGGTAAGGTCTATGCACTGTGAGACTCATCGTTCACTCCTCTGGGTCCACACATAGCTCCCAGCAGTCCAAGAAACAATAACAGCATCTACATGATGGAAAATTCATTTCAACAAGACTCTCCAAGCAACTTTTGAAAAAAGCCTCCAGCTCAGATGGAGTTAGGGAATCACAGGGCTGGCAGCTACTGCATAAACCAGCGGCTTCCAGACTTGCTTTCCATCTCCCAGATTCACCCAGAAGCCGGTACACAAAACTGATACAAACAGAGCTGCTCTGCTAGAAATAGTGCCCCTGTCTGCTTGGCACCCTCCCTCTTCTCCCCCAGGCCCTGGCACCCTCACCCCGGCAGCTCCAAGGAACCCCTGGGGCTCCAAAAGCAGTGATGGAAAACCACTAACCTAGGCCAACCTCGCTGAGGAGATATGGGAATCGAGTCCCACAGGAGTCACGCTCTGCACTGCGCCTGAACACAAACCCAGGTTTCTGAGTCTAAGCTAACACTCCTCGCAGACTTTGCTAGAGCTGGATCTATGGAAAATTGCACTTTAAAGCAGCAAGGCTCAAATCTGATCACCTACACATAATCCCTAAAAACCCTGGAATTGGCCAAGTGTGAAACAGAACCCAGCCCCACAGGCTGGCAGGGAGAAGGTCGGAAATGAGTTGCAGAAGCACAGCTGACAATTCCATAGCGTTTCCTTCAGTTCCGGGGACATAAACAGGTCTTGAAAGGCTTGGGCTGCGTGGCGGTGAGACCCTGGACCAGGCAGCCAGGAGGTGAATGCTAACGAGCTATGGAAACAGCTGTTACTTTCCCCGTGTCAGGCACCGTGCCAAGCTAAGGAGGATAAAGAGGTCTGAGATATTTTTATAGCAGAAAAACTTTCCTACAGACTCAATTATATAACTATCAGACTCCACCTCTGGGCTGAAATTATCCATGGCCTTCAGGAAAAAAAGCAGTTTTCCCTACAGGAGGGTCACAGGTTTCTCCAGAGAAACTCCAAGCTATATGGCCAGCAACCTACAGCAGCTGCAAACCATCAGCCCAGAGACGCAGCCAAGCGCCGTTTGGCGCCCGCCAGAGACGAATACCAGCCAAGCGGAGGGCAGGAGTCGTGCCGCTGACCCGGCCGTCACACTGGACATGGTAGGGTAGAGACAGCAGGTCCCCTCTGTGGGGCCTCCAAACACATCCACATCGGTGTCCTCCCAACTTCCTGAGGCCACCGAAGGAGAGAAGGTGCCAGGGAGCAGTGCCTGAGCCCAGGCGTCCTCTGCTGTTGGCACAGGGCGGACACACAGGGAAAGCCTCTGGGGCTGAAGGAATGAAGAGCTTCAGCGCTGAAGTGACAGCCAACATCAGAGGAACAGACTCAGGAAGATTCACTTACAGCCCAGGTCTTTGTCAGCCTGAAGATGGGCGCACTTTGTAATGCCGACACCACAGACATGAGAGAGTGAAGGTTGTTGAGTTCTAGGAGTTTCTGGGGGGGGGAAAGATATGGAACAGATTATTTTGCTGCTATAAACAACAGAACAAAAACATGCTCAAGTGTTACCAAATGTTGTCATATTTATGAAATTCAATTGCACTTAAAAATATCTTGTGTAGAAAATGTAGTTCTAGGAAGTTCATAGAAACCATATGCTCTTTTCCTTTCAAATTGCCACAAGGTGAGTTTGCAGCTACAACATTTGCTAAATTTCATAAGCTGACTAGTCTGGCTGCTGGACAGAAACATAGCTCAGGAGAAGGTTTGATAATGCTCTTTATGTTCTTTCTTTTCTCTCTCTTTTTCTTTTCTTTCATTTTTTTTCTCTTTCTTTCTTTAACAAATCTGAACAGTCCCAGCAGGCTTTTGGCTTTGGTGCACTGAAACCTCAGCTGGCCACCAACATCAGCGTGGGTCTTTGGTGATCACCTGGCTAAGGAAAGGCGCTATCCGTGTGCATAACCCTCCTCAGTCAGCAGGGCAGAGCTCCGGCTTTCCAGCCACTTGACCACGCTCCTCTGAACCAGACTCCAAATTAGTGAGAACATTTGGATTCAATTCAGACTCAGACAAGTTCTTTGCCATGGAGGGCAGCAGAAGGAGACACAGTCAAGAGTAAGTGAGGAAAAATGTAATGGCTCTGGGCCTGGTTTTAAGCGAGGGAAGCCTGCTAACAGGACTGGGGTTCCAGTCTCATTCTCGGAGTCCATGAAGCCTGGGTTAGCAGTAGGATCTCTGGGGCGACCGCACCCCCACTCCAGGTACCCACTCCTTGTATGTCCTTGGCACAGGTCACCGCTTCGAGCACTAGTCCTGAGCCTCAGCATCCTCTTAGTTAAAATAGGAAGTCATGGCCCATCTGCTACCTGGGACGGTGCATGGAAACTGACTAGACCCATGGTCAGTAAACTGCAGCTCACGAGCCACATGCGGCTCTTTGGCTCCTTGAGTGTGGCTCTTCCACAAAATACCACAGCCTGGGCATCTATTTTGAAGAAGTGGCATTGGAAAAAGTTTAAGTTTAAAAAATTTGGCTCTCAAAAGAAATTTTAATCGTTATACTGTTGATACTTGTCTCTGTTGACTAATGAGTTTGCCGACCATTGGCCTAGACCAGGGCCCAAAGCCAGGGTCAGCACTCACGGTGATGTGGGCTGCTCATTCTTTGTCAGGAAGACTTGTCCTCCAATATCCCGTCACTCGTCTTCGGTTCTTCTAAGCTCAGGTGCTACTGCCTCTATGTCTTTCCTGATCGTGTTCCCAAGTCTGGGGACCCCGCCGTCTGCCTCAACAGTCTGTGCCTCTCCTCAGCACACTGGACTGTGCTCCCTGAGGGCCGGGGCAAAAACATGCCTGCCATCATGTCCCCAGTACCTAGCTCAGCACCCAGTAGGGCCTAGTGAAATGGACAAATAAATGGAAAGCCCTCATGCTAGTCTTCCTGGCTTTGATCCTACTTGGAGATTTCTCTCTTACCACACCGCTCATACTTCGCTTCACACATCTTGTAACGTTCTCTAATTGTTTCCTGCTGTGGGATAATAGATTCTCTGTGCGAACAGAATTTCATAGTATGAAACTGAATTACTATGCATGTCACACAATTTCTTTAGAGCTGAAGGTGCTCTGGGACAATAGTCGCCAATCTTTTGGACTTCACAGACCACCAGTGGTCTTCAGACCAGCAGTTGGTGACCACTGCTCTGGGAGATGATCCAGTCCACCCCTTTCCTTGTATGGACGGGAAACCGAGGCCCAGAGGAGGAGGGGCCTGCACAAGCACATTCCCAAGGCACCGTACAGCATGGCGGTCCACCATCAGAAGATGGTAGAGGTTAAAAGGAATTCTTTTAGGTCCCTTGAGTGGGGACCAAAAACTCATTTCTAAATGGAAAGCACGAGATGGACTGGGACGTAATCGCACTTTCTCACAAGGCCCAGCACAAACTCGCTAACAGCAAGTATCACGAAGCCCAGCTGGTCCAAGTACTTCAGACGCACAGGACATAACAGTGCCCCTAACACACATACTTCCTTGAGAGGGGGCAGGAGAGCAGTTCCCCAGAAGGCATGCTCCACGGATTCTGTGGGCCTTGGGCATGGACACTCACCTCGCTAGCCTCCCCTCAGTCCTCTGGGAATGGGATTGTAATCATGTGACATCGACTATGATCATTTCCCTAAAGCTCCTGTTGCGGTGCCTGGCTGCTGAGGGGCCTCAGTAAATGTTAGCTGGCCTAAGATGGGGTGGGGAGATGAAGCAAGGAGTGGACCAGGCAGAACAGTGTTCCGCTGGTCAGGTAAGCCGGAGGCTGGGAGAAGTGTGTGGGGAGGAGGAGGCAGGGCTGTGTAAGTGATGAGAGTGGTTCAGAACGGCCCCTGGGACCACAGCGGGGCTGAAAGAGATGAGGCAAGAGGAGGGGAAAGGTGGGATGCAGACATGAGCCCGTCAGGCAGGAGTTGGGAGTGGGAGCAACAGGGTCGTCCGGCCAGGTCTTAGCTCAGGATGGGTGGGTGAGCTTTGCTGACTGGGGACAAATCCACAGAATGTGTTGGCATCACAAAATCAGTGCTGAGTAAACTCACCAACCCGGTTCTGGCTAAATCTGAAGGAGGAGGAGGATGGATTCCAGGGGTAGTGTGAAAGGCCAAAGAGAATAGCTGGCTGCCAAAATCACAGGGTGGAGGAGCATGCTGACAATGTGGAGGGGAGGGGCAAAGTGACAGGCGGCTGGGAGCTGAGTGGGCATCCAGGTCGGTTTCCTAGCTGCCTCTGTCTGGGGATGTCAGGTCACAGCCCCCTGTCTGAACCCTGCCTGGGCGGACCCAGAGCACGGCTGCTCCCTAATTATTGAAGAAACGTTTTTTTGAAATATTTTTTTTATGGATGTCACACAATGAAAGGGAGAGGAAAGACAAATAGAAACATTAATAATGAAAGAGAATCATTGATCAGCTGCCTCCTGCACATCCCACACTAGGAATCGAGCCTGAAACCCAGGCATGTATCCTGACTGAAATTGAATCCTAACCTTCTGGTTCATAGGTCGATGCTCAACCACTGAGCCACGCCATCTGGGCAGGGATACACATTTTTGAGACAAAGAAAGAAAGGAAAGGGGATTTAAAAAAATAAAAATAAATAGAAAAACAGCTTACCTTGGCTATTTTCACAAAATGGCTCAGGATTTCTGCCCTTATTTTTAAAGTCTGTGCTGTTAGAATTTCTCGTACAACCCAAAAGCTGACCTGTAGAGTCAAATACAAAGACACACATACACTCCAGAAAAGTTGTTAAATGCTGGGCCACCCATGTCACCCCTGCCCATCACTTTTAATGGGATTTCCAAGAGGTTGGGAAACTGGGAAAGCATCGCCCAGGGTTGTGTCAGGTCTCAGGTTCCTTAATAACACCCAACCTGGCAAATGGGTCCCCTGCTCTGAGCACCACCTCTCCGACACACAGTGGTGCTGAGAGGTCAGTACTTCTGTCATCCTCCAGGGAGTTACTTATTGCACCTCTATGAAAGGAGTCTTGGCAAGCACTGCAGGGAATTCTGAGATGGGTCAGACAGGATTCCTACTCAAAAGGATCCCAGATGTGGGGAGACCATGAATAGATGGATGGATGGATGGACGGATGGACAAGTGGCCAAAGGGATATGCATACTGCCAGTACCACCCATAAGAGCCATATCCTCAGCCAGACCTAAGACAAGAAGAATTTAGCAATATTCACACAATTGTAACAAGTTTAATTTTCTAGGTTAGGGTTACCCAAATACTAACAAAAACCACACAGAAACATCTTTCAAAGCTCCATAAAGCAATGCACATCAAGGACATGTTTTTGTGGAGACAGCAGATGCCAAAGAGCATCCTGGTACTTCTGGTTCAGAACATCGCTCATGCTTGACCTCTCACATAAACCAACATCCCCAAGCCCCTGAGTCATCTCCCATGTGTAGTTGACTTGCATGACACCTCTGAGGACCCAGAGGGGCTTCGTGCCTAGAGCTCTGGGGAGTGGCCAGCTTTCTGGCTGAGGTTTCACTGCTGCCACGGCTCTTTGCAGAGCACAGAGGCCAAGAGGGCAAGGAAGTTCTACCGAGAAAGGTGGAGAGCAGGGACAGTGATGGGGTTCAAAGGAAGGTGGGGCATTGAAAACCACTAAATTCTACTAAGCAAAAATTAGTTAAGAATATTCTAGAGTTAACAAAGCATGTTTACTGCTGCAACCAAATATATCCTCTTTCCTGAAGTACTGGCCCTTTCGAATGAGAAAACAAGGAAAGAATAACCAAGAATCAAAACTCTGCTTTTCACATTAAGCAGGAATATTATAAAAAAAAGTTTTCTCTGCATAATTATCTGTGGTTGGTTCCAGGACATGCCCTGGTTTCCATAGAATCATTTTCCCCCAAGGAATTGTCTAAAACTTAAGTTCAGACTCAAATGTTTACTAGCCAGTTATGGAAGGAATATATTCTGGATACCAAGTGATATACCCATAAACCTTATATTTCAATACATGCACATTTTTATGCCACATAATCTCGTGTGACCATTTATGTGTCCTGTATAATTTGATAGATTCCTGCATGCCAAAAAATCACACATTTTTATAGAGCATGAGAGGGGGCTCTGATCTGTAGCATATGGCATGTGGAAGCAACTCTAGGTCAATTCAATCCAATAGATTTCCATGAGGCCCTTACTGTGCACAGGCTCCAGGCACTGCAAGTCCAAACCCCATCAGTGCTTTCCTGGTATGGGGGTGACCAGAGGAGGAGGCAGCTGGTGAAGGTGGCCTGACCTAGAATATGGGGGTGGTGATGATGGAAGAAGGCTTCTTGGAGGAGGCAGGTGTTGAAAGGTGGGTAGACTTTCAGCAGGTAAAGGTAGGACTGAGTATGGTGTATACACCAGGACCAGGGAGAGCTGAGTAGACCAACACGATGGCTGTGGAGTGGAGATAATGAGGGAGATTGATGCTAACAAGGGAAGTGAAAGCCAGATTGTAGGGGTCTAGAGAAACAAAGCAATAAGAAGGACCTAAGACAATTAATTACACACAGGAGAGTCCCAGAGGCTTCTGAGCAGAAGAATGACAGGCTAGATCCCTTTATAGGAACACCCAACAGGAAGTCGGTGCAACTGTCTAAGTGAGAGGTGAGAGGTCTGAGCTAGGGCCTGAGCTAGATGAAGAGAAGGGGCAGGTAAGGGAGATATTTACAAAGGTAGGATCAGAAGTTCTAAATATTTTTTAAAATATATTTTTATTTATTTCAGAGAGGGAGAGGAAGAGAGAGATAGAAACATCAATGATGAGACAATCATTGATTGGCTGCCTCCTACCCTCCCCCTACTAGGGATTGAGCCCACAACCCAGGCATGTGCCCTTGACTGGAATCGAACCTGGGACCCTTCAGTCTGCAGGCAGACACTATCCACTGAGCCAAACCTACTAGGGCCTAAACATTTTTAATTTTCTTTACTAACTACAAAATTTAAGGCAAGCTTAATGTAGAAAACAAGGGAAACAGAGATAAGCAGAAAAGATGAATCACTTGCAACATACAGACCACCAAGATAACCACTGTGGTGTGTGTCTGTTGAGTATTTCTTTCCATACAAAAGCGTATACGTTGTATGTTAATCATATCACAAGAATTTCTATTTAAGTGAATAAATATTCTTTTACAACTTGCTTTTTAGCGACTGCTAAATATTTCATCTTAGGGATGTAGCATCATTAGGTGATCCCCTATTGTTGGGTAGGTTGTTTCTAATTCTTTCGTTGTAAAAAAGAATGTTGTGGTGCCCTGGCCAGTGCTGCTAAATGGTTAGAGTGCCAGCCCGCACGCAGAAGGGTCTTGGGTTTGATTCCCTGTGTTGCTCTGGTGAAGGGCACATACCTGTGTTGTAGGTTTGATTCCCAGTCCCAGTCGGGACTCATTCGGGAGGCAACTGAGCAATGAATCTCTCTCACATAGATGTTTCTCTTTCTTTTCCTCCCACCTTCTCTCCCTCTCTTCCTACTTTCTCTAAAAAAAAAAAAAAATCAATGGAAAAAATATCCTCCTGTGAGGATGAACACATAAAAATTTTTTGCAGTGATGAGCATATATAGATATATATCTTTACATATTTTTAGTTAAGGTCTTAGGATAAACTTCCTGTAAGGTGGAATGAATAAAAGTATATGTGCCTTTTTTCCAAAAGCAGATATAAAAAACTTGGCCTCTAAAAGGTCTATTTGTTTATCTATCAACAAGTTTGAGCAGATCCGTGTTCCCACACACAGGCACATGTACCAGTTATTACAACTCTTTTTTTCATTACTAAATTAATGGACAAAATAATATCTTGCTGTTTCTATTTTGCATTTCTTTTGTGACTGCTCATTCAACATTTTTTTTGCCTTCTTTTCAGTTACAAATATTTATAGGTCACTTGTACTATTTGCCTTCTGAGTTACCTGCTCAGGTCCTTCACCCATCTTTCTATTGGGACATCTGTCCTCTTACTATTGGTTAGTAAATGGTCTTTGTATTAAAGAAAACACACTAACCCTTTGTGAGTCATACATTGTACCAAAAGTGTGGAGAAACTGGTACTTTTTGACACTTTTGAGGAATATAAATTTATTGGACCATTTTGAAGAACACTTGAATGTGTTTTTCAAGATGTTAAAGTTATATTCTCCCTAGAATATTTACCTTATGAATATAAAATTTAGAGGGACATATGTACAAAGGTTCACTGCTGCACTGTTTATAAAGCAAAAGAATAGAAAATGCCCATCAATAGGGAATTGGTTGCATAAATATACTTTCACCTCAAACTTATCCAGGAAGATGCTATGGAGCTGTGCTTGCTCCAGCGTCTTGAGGGCAAATGATCTATATTATTTGGAATTCTTCTGCTTAGTAGATTTGTATTGTCTGCTCCCTTTATTTATCCAATCACTTGTTTATATCAGAATGGACTCACCTATATTTATTTTATATTTTGGCTTATGATCCAATGCTGTGTTATTTTATTGCTCAGATCGTTCCAGCTTCGGCCACTGAGGCCTCTTTCAGTTGGTTCCTGCGTCCCTTCCCTTTGACCCGCCAGCACTGCTTTGGTTTGTGGGCTTGTTTAAGCCTTTGCTTATTTTTCCAGCACTATAAGGAGCTACGGGCTCATCTTGGACATTTCTTGCCCTAGTCCTAAACTAGCCATTTTTTTCTCCAAAAAGCCTGGGTTCCTTTTAGTAGACAATGAGATTAGAAACCAAATACCTAGCAGTACACAGCTGGATTGTGTCTGTACTATTTTGAATTTCCACCAGCAATGAACGAGAGTTTATGTTGTTCTGGGTATCTGCTAGCAATTGGTATTTGTCAGGTTGTTGTTGTTTTTTTTTTAGCTATTTTAATTGGTATGTAGTATTTTGCATTTTCCCAATGACAAATGATGTTGAGCATCTTTTCATGTTTATTTGCCGTCTGCACATCTTCTTGGGTGAGGTGTCTGCTCAGATCCTTTGCCCATTTTTTAATTGGGTTGTTTTCTTATTGTTGAATTTTCAGAGTATATTTTGGATACAAGTCTTTTATCAGATATGTATTTTGTAAATATTTTTTTCCTGTCTGTGCTTTTGTTTTGTTTTGTTTTTTTAATTCTCTTAACAATGTCTTCTGCAGAGTAGAAAATTTTAATTTTAATAAAGTCCCAACTTTTCAAGTTTTTCTTTCATGGATTGTACTTTTGGTGTCATATCTAATAAATAATTTTTATGAAAGATCCAAGGTCATGTAGATTTTCTTCTATGTTTTTTCCTAAAAGTTTTATAGTTTTGACTTTTAGCTTCCATTTAAACTGCTGCTACTTTGGATAGTCCTGTGGTTGGCAAACTGTGGCTCGCAAGACACATGCAGCTCTTTGGCCCCTTGAGTGTGGCTCTTCCTCAAAATACCATGGTGTGGGCGAGTCTATTTTGAAGAAATGGCATTAGAAGAAGTGTAAGTTTAAAAATTTGGCTCTCAAAAGAAATTTCAATCATTGTACCGTTGATATTTGGCTCTGTTGACTCATGAGTTTGCCGACCAGTGTGATAGTCTATCAAGTCTGATCTATAGTTTTGACTTTTACATTTAGGTCTCTGATACATTTTGAGTTAATTTTTATGAAAGATCTAAACTCTAGATTCATTTTTTTTTCATATATGCTGCAAAAATTCCAATTATTCCAGCACTATTTATTGATGAAATTACCCTTTCTCCATTGAATATCCCTATGCATTTGTCAAAGACCAGTTGCCTATGTTTGTATAGGTCTACTTCTAGGCTCTTTATTCCAGCCGTCACCAACCTTTCGGACCTCACGGACCACAGGTTGGCGACTGCTGCTCTATTCTGTTCCACTGTCTTAGATGCCTATCCCTTAGTCAAGACCATGCTGTCTTTATTACTGTAGCTTTTCTGTCAGTCTTGAAATCAGGTAGAGTGAGTCCGCCAACTTTGTTCTTTTTCAGTGTTATGTCTTTAGTCTTTCCATATAAGCTTTACAGTTTACTGATATTTATAAAATAGCTGAGATTTTGATTGGGCTTGAACTGAATCTATAGATCAACTGGGAAGGTCTTAATAATGAATTTTCTAATCCATGAAAATAAAATATTTCTCTATTTCTATCTGCTTTGCTGTTTTGCATCAGTGTTTTATATTTTCTACAAATAGAACTTGTACATAGTTGTTCGTTTTATGCTTAAGCATATTTCTTCATGTGTTTGTATACTATTGTAGATTTTTTTAAATTTCAAATTCCAATTCTTCGTTGCTGGTACAGAAGATCTTTTGTGTGTTGACCTTACAAACTGCAACCTTGCTATACTCATTTATTACTTCCAGGAAGTATTTTTTTTTAATAGATTTCTTTGAGATTTTCTAAATAGACAATCATGTGAATAAAGACAGTTTTACTTCTTCTTTTCTTGTTTTATTGCACTAGTCAGGACTTCCAGTATGAATGGAAGTGGTACGAGAGTTCATCCTTGCCTTGTTCCCGATCTTGTGGGGAGAACTTCAAGTGTCTCACCATTCAGTGCGATGTTGGCGGCAAGACTATTGTAGATATTCTTTAGCAAGTTGAAAAGCTTTCTAATTTGCTGAGATTTCCTAAAACATCATGAATGGATGTTAAATTTTGTGAAATGCTTTTTTGAATCAATTAGTATGATAATATGATTTTTCTTCTAATGCCTATGAATACACTGGATTACAGTAGTTGGTTTTCAACTGTTAAACCAGTCATGTATACCAGTCATGGAAATAATGCCACTTAGTCATGGTGCTAATAAGCTTTTAAATACAGACACTATTGTTATCACCTTTATTGTTCCAGAGGTATAATTAGCACTAGAGTTTAGCCACTGAAGACTAATATATCCCCTGGGAAATATCTCAACAGTATTATAGATGAATAAAGCAAAATAGTTACTGAAAACAAAGAAGTTTATTTCATCAACCACAAATAAAACAGTCAAAGCATAAAGTAAAGAAAAATTCAGGTTTAAAAATACTGTCTTTTCTTCTGAGAAATCTACTTTGCCATGAATTTCTCATAAGCCCATTCACAGTTTTCTTACAAACCTGGAGGTAAAAGGGACTTCAAGGCCCCCTCTTTCCCTCAACCTCCGCCCCCTCCACTCCCAACCCCACGATGTTCTACAGTCACTGTGATAAAGCCCTGCCTGGTCTCTGTCTGGGCTTTCATAGGTAAGGAAATAACTACCTTGTATTAGGACAAAGCACTGCCTCCCCACTCCCATCCCCTGGTTCCTATACTTACTGATTGGGCCCCACAGGTTATACTTAATCAGCTTCCCCATAGGAGCTCCTCATGAAAAAACCTTGATGATCTCCTCCCTGAGTCTTCTCAATCCCAGATACCTCAGCTGGTCCTTATGTAACATGCTTTCTTTCCCTCACCCTCTGGCCACTGTCATGTTGGCATGCCACTCCTGTGTGACAGTCTCCCTGCTCTTCGTGCGAGGCACCCAGGAGTGGCTGGATAGAGCAAAGGAAGTGAGATCACCACACACCATTAGAATGGCTAAAATAAATAAATAAAAATTTAAAACCCTGACAATACTAATTGCTGGCAAGGATCGGAAGCAACACAAACTTACATTCATTGCTGGTGGGAATGAAAAACGGTACAGACACAATCCAGTGATTGTACTCCTAGGTATTTACTAAGCGTGTTTGAAATTTTGTGACCACACATACACGCATTTGTTTACAGCAGTTTTGCTCATAATTATAGAAAACTGGAAGTAAATAAGATATCATTCAATAGGTAAATGGGTAGACAATGTCCATACTATGGAATTGTATTCATAAAAAAAAAAATTAAGACATCAAGCCAAATAAAGACATGGATGAATCTTAAATACATATTGCTCAATGAAAGAGCCAGCCTGAAAGGGCTCTTTATATATGATCCCACCCACTTTGACATCTGAAAAGGGTAAAGCTATAGAAATGGTAAACAGATCAGGTTCTTGATCATTGTCTCCCTCTCCATACCAAACTGCCTTCTTCCTTGAGCAACTTCAATATCACTGTGCATGACCGTGGCCTCAAGGTCACTTGGCCACTTCAGCAACTCTTTCCCACCTACCACTTCAGTCACCTCTTCCTCATAATCATCCAGAACTTTAAATTCCAGTCTTGGGCCACAACCTTTCAACCTCCCTTATCCCGGAGCCCCCACTGTGCCTGTCCTTCCTTTTCACCACATCTGCAGGCCCGGCAGCCCTTGCTCTTGAGCAGACTGCTCCCCTATCATTTGTCACTTCAGCCTCTAGTCAGCACTTTAAGTTCCCTTCCCCTGCTCCTTCAAAACTCTGCTTTGCTAACTCCAACCTGTGGATGGATCCAAGCATTTGCCCTCCTACGTCCCTACTCCCAGGCTGCAAAATGCAACTTGAGAAAACCATCTACCCTTGTGCACTGGGACCACTTTAAAAGTCACAATCTCCGTTTCATCTGGGCCATCGTCTCTGCCCAAGAGTCTTTCTATATTTCCACAGTCAGCTCTCTCCTTTCCCCCGAAGTGGCTTTTTCATTTCACTTTCATAACAACTGTGCAAGGTGAGTACTGTTACTGTTCTCACTTACAGATAAGGAAATGAGCTCAGAAAGGTAAGTGACTGCTTTCCTTTGTCTGGAGTCCGATGGGGAAGTTTGTTCTCACATATGGAAGTCTGCTAGGAAGGAATGCCAATCAGTTTATCTCAGGAAAAGCAGCCCAGTGGCTGACCAGACCTGGCCGCCGGCCAGTTTTCAGACCAGAGCTACCAGAGTACGTCCAGGAGCTGCTGCTCTGAGGAGCTGACAGGCCGCAGGCAGACCCTCTCTCAGGGCACCGTTTGGGAAAGTGTGGCTTTGCTCTGGTTCACTGTATTGGTCTGATCTGGACAGGATGCAATTATTCGCAGAACGAGCCACGTTGCCCTTGGCCAAGCTGACCTGGCCTCTTGTGCAAAGCAGATTACATCAGAGCCCTCCGGGAGCCCGGCGGCTGGTCAGAGGTGGGACGGAGCTGTCTCCGAGTCAGATAGTTTTGCTAGGAAACTATGAATCCCCTGATAGTGTGTGCACATCTGGTTTTTGGTGTGTTTTCTTAAAAGACTAAGCTCAATTGAAAAGGAAAAGATTTTTGAAAACAAAGAAAAAAGAAACAAAAGACTTTAGAACTTCCTTTTCAAAATAAACGGTGTGCACTCCCTACCGCAGCCATTGTCTCATAAAACAGGTCATGCTAACCAGCCTTGCTCTGAGCACTCAAGCCGGTGCCTCTCTGAGGCTCCCGCTGTACTTGGGGTGGCAGCCCAGAGTGGGGAGGCCTGGAGGGGGCTGGGTAATGTGATGCACAGGACCCGGCATTTCCGAGGGGAACACCCAGCTGGAGGAAGGCACCAGAGGGAATCCAGGCTCATCACCCAGAGATCCAGTCATGTTCACCATGCAACCTCTAGGCCACTGTCCTCATGTGAAACCAGAAAAACAAGCAGAAAGTAAGAACTGTCAACAGCACCTTTTGGGGGCTTGATCTATCCAAAGGGGGTCTTGCAGGGTGCTTCCTACCGATGACATGTCCTGGGAGATCTGACTGAGCAATCAGAAGCCCACCCCTTCAGCAGGCCCAAGGCCCTGCTATCATTTAGTAAGTAGGGACGCAGGTCTTCATACACGGAACAAAGGTTCTGGCTGGACCTAGAGAGTTTGTAATAAGATGCATGAGGCCAGTGAGCAGGCTGTCAGGAATTCACAGAAATTCACTTCAAGGAATGCTTCCTGAGCACCGCATTCACTCATCCCACATGTATTTACTGGGGGTCTATGCAATGCTGACCTTGGGCAAAAGGTGGGGGATGCAGTGATGAACAAGGCAGACACAATTCCTGCCCTCATGGAGCCCACAGACGGGGAAGGAAGCTGGAGACCGAGTCACAAAATGAGGACAGGTGAGTGAGGGCCAGCGGAGAAGCACAAGTGCAGTGAGGGAATGCATGACGGGAAGACTTCCCAGGAAGTGCCGTTCAAGCTGAGGAAGAATTCTGAGCTGAGAAGGCAGCACGCGTGGAAGTCTGATGGGACAGAGGTATGATGCATCAGGAAAAGGAAGGAAGGCCAGAGTGGCTGAAGCCCGCAGAGTAGGGGAAAGGGCAAGAGACGAGGCTGGCGGGTGGACATAGCCAGACCCACCATGCAGGACCTTGCAGGGCAATTAAGGTGCTTGAACCTTAGCTTATGTGGAATTGGAAGCCACTGAAGTGATTTAAACACAGGAAAGACGTGTTCAGTTCCACCTGCTGTGAGAAGAGGACTGTGATGGCTCAAGAATGAATGAAAGTGGGGGTTCAGGAAGAGGGGTCTGGTCCTGGGGCCAAGTGTTTGGAACTGAACCCCAGCAGGGACCCCAGGCTACAAATGGCAACACTGCTATCTGGACAGGCACATGCAAGGGGTTGCTTACCTGGTTAAACCTCCGGGTAAAGGCCACAACGTTTGGGGCGAGACTATGTTTCTCCTTCTTACTCCATCCACAGCTGGCTAGTTCCTAGGAAGCAAAGAGCCCATTTCAACAGTGGTTCTAATCGGGATGCAAACACAGCAGGGGCACCTGATTGGAAATGGGTATGGAGGTGGGGAAGAGCTGTCCTCATCAGAGTGGGAAGATCCTCTGCCTCTGGAGAGGAGAGCTGGGAGGAGGCGCTCCTGGGACCCTAGAGAGGGGAAGGAGATGCTTTCTTTACAGCCCCAGCCCCATTTCCCAGAACTTCTGTGCCAAAATACTCAACCTCACCACTGCCACTCTGCCAGCTTCTCCAGGAACAGAAATCCCTTCTTGACTCAAATTGTCTGAGACAGGACGTAACGTTTTAACTAGTGGGACTCATCCCCCCGAAAGGCAAAGTCGAAATTTAAATCTGGCTGGAGAATCTCAGGTTTCATCAGCTACATGACATCCTCTATTCTTAGGGTCAAGGAAAGCCTGATCCAAGCCCCCTGCAACCAGGAAAGCTTCTGGGATTACCTCGATTCCTACCCGAAGCTGGACCCTCCTATCCATCATATAACCAAAAGGGGACAGAGGAGAGGTTCCCTTTAAGATCTCTTTCAGGGGCCTTGTCTCCTCTTTCTCAGCATTATAGTTTGATCAAATAACCTAAAATTTACCTTCAGTGAGGCTGGTTCTGATCCAGGGGAGATAACAGGAGCAATCTAAGGTGATTAGTTGGGGGCTGTATAAAGGACCAAGGAAAGGCCCCTATTCAAATGGCTAGCATTCTCAGCTGGTGCCTGTGGAGCCCGACAGAGAAGGGAGAAATGGGTAGATTCAAAAGTTCTCTACCCCTAAGTGACAAGACCTCCTTTTAATTCCCATCAGGCCTCGGTATTGTTAATAACATTATTTTACCACACACCTGGAACTTTTATAAGATCTTTAGTGAGAGCCAGCTGTCCACCAACTGGAATAGACATGGATCAGAGTCTGCTAGAAAGCCAGAGAGAGCAGCAGGAATGGACAAGACAAAACTTGCTGGCTGCGCAGTTATGCCTAAAGTGCCGCGCCCTTCCAATGCATCTGAGGACCCAGCTCTAAACCCAGCCTCGCTGAAGGCAATGGACAGCTCTGGACACCAGATGAATGACCTGGCCTTGAGAACAACTGAGAACCAGCCAGAAGCTAAAAACAGCTCCTCTTCCTGGCCACCTCATTTGTGCAAATGGCATCATCGCCCTCCCAGTCACCCACATGAGGAAATACAACCATCCCTGACCCTGCCAAGTCCTTCACACCCTAAATAACAGTAATGACAATGATATTAACCCAGAACCATTTATCAAGAACAACCCCCCACACACACGCCAGCACTGGAGAGGTACTTCCCATGTTACCTAATTCTCAGCACAACCATTTTAACGAAAAGGAAAGGGCCTCAGTATCATTCGTTCTCTTGAAAAGATAATTTGACTCTACTGTTTTTCAAAAGTGCACATGAATGACTTTGAGATGGAAAATTTCCTGTGTAGCCTGGCTGGATGGCTATTAGTTGGAGCGTTATCTCTTACACCAAAAAGGTTGTGGGTTCAATCCCTGGCTGGGGCACCTATGGTAACCAACCAATTGATGTTCTAGTCACATCAATGTCTGTCTGTCTGTCTCTCTCTCTAAATAAACATACCTTGGATGAGGATTAAAAATAATAATAAATTACCTGTGTACCATGATTCTCCTTGTTCTGAAATGTATATTTGGTCTACCTGAGTTATATTTACTTCTTCCCCTGATGCACCTTTTCACCTATTTTAATCATTTTGCAAATGTATATTATTGTCCTTTCAGTGTTTAATTGGGAGGACAAGAGCTTTTCTCCCCTGTGAATCCCAAAGCCAGTCCCAGAAAGGTATGGGTTATAATCAGATAGAGAAATGGATTCATAAAACTGATGTTCAAGGACTGAGGCATGGTTATTGCCTAATTTCTGGCCAATAGTTGCTCCTTTTATTTATTTATTTACTTATTTATTTATTTATTTACTTCTTTGATAAATAGCCAAAATTATATACGTTTGTGTGTGCATGTGTGTACATTTAATTGAGTACTCAATCTTATAAGTAACTTAGGAATGCATCCTGAAAGGGAGCAGTGTGGATCTTCCCCTTGGAAAGACCAGGCTCAGCCCTAGCTAGTTTGGCTCAGCAGCTAGAGCATCAGCCTGTGGAATGGGGTCGCAGGTTTGATTCCAGTCAAAGGCACATACCTTGGTTGCAGGCTCAACCCCTGGCCTTGGTTGTGACATGTGCGGGAGGCCACCAATCGATGTATCTCTCTCACATTGATGTTTCTCTCTCTATGCCTCTCTGCCTGTCTTCAACTGTCTCTAAAATTCAATCGGGTGAGAGGGTCAGAAAAATAAATAAAAATAAAATTATTAAAGAAGAAAGACCCGGATCAGATCCTACATGTTGCTTATCTTCTCAGAACCTCAATTTTCTCATCTTAAAATGGGTACAGTCCTCCATTTATCTGTGCAGTTCATCATGACAATTAGATGAGATTAACTCACCCGAGCACCCAGCACGGATGTGTGGTAAAGGTTATCTCCCACCTCTTCCCGTCATGCGCCACCAGAATCAGCTCCAGCTCCAAACACCCTCTGCTTCTCTCACACCACACTCTTGTTGCTGTCTTGAACTATTTAAAAATCTATTATTTCCCTTTCATTTTGCTGATGTCATGCAGGCAGGAACCAAAGCACGCAGTTAATACATCTGTCCTGAATTTATCTGATTTGAACATTTCTAAGACCGTGACTCAAAAACCGTGTGGGTTTTGACAATTCCCTAAGCAGCCTTTTGCACTGGAAGGCCTGTAACATTTAGAACTAAAACCCCAACAGACTGAAGCATTGTTGAAGAGCTTCCTTGATAAAATAGAAGAATCCAAGGACTCAGAGCTGGGCCTCACCCCAATCCCAGCCCTGACACATCTTTCCTGGGCGACCGCAGGTAAGCTCACGTCTCTCCTATCAGCCTCCAGGCTGATGATACAGGGATGGTGACACCACCTCCACAGACCAAGAGAGAGGCTGACAGAGAGGCGACACGCAGGGCAGGCCAGGCTCGCGGCAGATGCCGAGCTGCATTTGTTGAATGAACGCGTTCCTCAGTGCTGAAATCTCCCAAACGCAGCGCAGAAAGATTTATCGAGATGTCGAAAGAAATAAGGCCATTCTATCTACTCAAACAGGCCCTGAGCCCCACCTCCTTGGCCCTGCTCCTCTCCTGTGTTTGGCCTTATAGGATTACAAGAGATTCCATCTGTGTGAAGTGGGTTTGGAAAATGTGAGGTAATAGAACAATGCTCTTCCAGTCACTCATGCCTAAAAAAGGTCCATGCTATGGAACGGATTTGAGTGTAATTAAGTTCGAGTTGACCAGAGGAGACAGGGCTGCTTCTAGAAGAGAGGCAGGGTGGGGGCTGATGCTGGTAGGGTTCTGGTAGCCCCCTCCCTCCCTGAGGAGCCACTTAGCTGCCCTGGGCTACGGGGGAGAGGAGTCTCACATGGCTATCCTGACTGACTCTGCGTCCCCTGCCTGGTCCACTGGCTGTGGAAGGAGAGGAAGAGCCTGCACAATCCATCGCCAGCTTCTCTGGGGCTTCTCTGTGAGGTGGATGTTCCCCAGGAGGAAAAAGATGGTAGAAAAAAATTTTCGACCACTAAACGTAGAAATGTACCCTCCTCAGGCTTCTGGGGAAGGGAGGCCCTTTGCCCAGAGGATCCACCCTCCTCCTGGGCTCTAGGTCCCATCCGTGCCCCTCGCTCAGAGGACCTGATACCCTCTTTTGTTCCAGTATCTCCACCCTCGTTCTCCCCAATTTCCTCTTCCAACTAGCACTTTAATGTGCATAAGCCTTTCCCATTAATAACAATAATGGTGAGGATGATTATGACAATGACATCTTTTCTAGACCGCCAGTCTCCTTCCGCTCCTGCTCACTCTTTCTTCTCTTTGCAGAGAATGTCTTGAAAGGGCCATTGGGTCTCACTGTTTCAACTGGCTTCCCTCTCCACCTTTCTCCACTTGAATGACCCTTTAGTTTTCTTTTTTAAAAAAAAGTATATATATATTTTAATTTCAGAGAGGAAGAGAGAGATAGAAACATCAATCACAAGAGAAAATCGTTGATCAACTGCCTCCTATACACCCCACACTGGAGATCGAGCTCACAACCCAGGCATGTGCCCTGACCTGGAATAAAACTGTGACCTCCTGTTTCAGAGGTCAATGCTCAACCACTGAGCACACCGGCTGGGCTAAAACTGCCCTTTGCTCTCCTGGAGACCACGTCCTGGCTAGGCAGCCCCTCTGCCTTATTTATCGCTCTGTCCCTGCCCGTCAGCCCTGTGTTCCTCTGGCTGCCTTCTTGCCACTCAGGCCCCCCACTCTCGGGCTTCTTTCCTTTTCTGACACATGTGCCCCACCCCCAGTGACATCTGTCCAGGCTCCTGGTCCACATTCTCCCATGTCTGGTTCCCTCCGGAAAATCTCATTTACCGCCATGGCCTCAACTGCACGTCTGTTCAACCCAAGCTTATCTCCTGAGCTCCAGCCCAGGATGTTCAGCAACCTGCTGGCCACACCTTCCGCGGCATCGCACACCACCTCAAAATCAGCAGGCCCGGACCAAAAGGGTGTCTGACCAGCTGCCCTCCACAAAAGCACACAACAACGTGAGACTCATTTAGACGTCCATTCTGACCTCAAAGGAGAATGTTTGGTACAAGGAAACTATGGAAAAACCCCTAGCTGACGTAAAGACACTTTGTCTCAGCGCCTTCATCGGCAAGCATTCCTTGGTGACAGCAAGAGTCAACGCCACTTTCGGCTCACCCCGCAAAACTTCCCTGGCCACACTGCCAGGAGGCCCTCCGGGCTGCCAGCTTTGTTCTGAGGTGTCTGGGAGTCAGATGCCCCGAGGTGGCCTGAGGAAGGCCTGACCCTGACCATGTCTGGGGTCATGAGGGACGGCCTTGGAAGAAGAGACCT